CACATCTTTATATCAGACTATACATGTACCCTCACGCTATGCTGCCGTGAATCATTTATACATCAGAATATAAGATAATTTTATTTGCCTCCTATTTCATATTTTAACCTAAACTCAAATTAACAAGTAACATTGTCTCGGCGTGATAAATTAGTGTGTGTGTGTGTGTGTGTGTGTGTGTGTGTGTGTGTGTGTGTGTGTGTGTGTGTGTGTGTGTGTGTGTGTGTCCGCCAGACGTGATATTATAATCTGTTGTTTTAAGAAGTAATATGTATTTGTTAACTTTGTGTCATGGTTTAAACAAAAACTTAATTAATAAGAGACGGTGTTTCCTTGTAAATAGATGTTGTTGGATGTATTTCTCGCAACACACGATGGCATTATTGTGTGTGTGTGTGTGTGTGTGTGTGTGTGTGTCTGGATGGATGGATGGATGGTGGTAGTTGTTGGTTAATGTCTTGGTTACCTGTAGTGTTGGTGATGGTAGTAGTAGTCTCTCTCTCTCTCTCTCTCTCTCTCTCTCTCTCTCTCTCTCTCTCTCTCTCTCTCTCTCTCTCTCTCTCTCGTGTGACGGATCATTCTGGGGTTCCGTGGTGTAGTTACGGACTTGGGTGGGTTGCATCACCTTCTTGCTAATATTGGCCACACTGTCTTTTATATCCCCTCCTCGACCTGTTTCTGTCTGTCTGTCTGTCTGTCTGTCTGTCTGTGTCTGTATGTATAGTATGTATGTATTCCCATTCGACCTGTATTTGTCTGTCTTATTTATCCCCCTCCTCGACCTCTGTGTGTGTGTGTGTGTGTGTGTGTGTGTGTGTGTGTGTGTGTGTGTGTGTGTGTGTGTGTGTGTGTGTATAGCAACGTCAGGTTATATTGCGTCAATTCTCTGTCTGTATGTGTCGGTTTCTTATTTTTTTAAGTCACACACACACACACACACACACACACACACACACACACACCGTTACCTGGGTGTATATTGTCAGATCTCATACTACACTTGGTATCTGGGTGTTGGTGCAAATAGTGGTGATGCTAATGGTGGTTGTGGTAATAGTGGTGGTTGCTGTGGTAGTGATGGTAGTAGCAGTGGTGGTAGTAGTGATAATGGTGGTCAGATTATTATTGTGAGTGGTAGTTGTGTGAATAGTAGTAATAGTAGTAGTAGCAGTCGTAGTTGTGTTAATGGTGGTGGGAGTCGTAGTGTGAATGGTGGTGGTGGTGGTGGTAGTAGTTTTTGTGTGAATGGTGGTAGTAGTAGTAGTGTGAATGGTGGTGGTGGTAGTAGTTTTTGTGTGAATGGTGGTAGTAGTAGTAGTGTGAATGGTGGTAGTAGTAGTAGTGTGAATGGTGGTAGTAGTAGTAGTAGTAGTGTGAATGGTGGTAGTGATGGTGGTGGCCGCAATGAGTCAGCCTAATTTAGTGTTGGTGAATTATTGTGGTGATGTGATGACCTTGTGAAATTCCCCCTCTCCTCCACTTCTCTCTCCTTCTTTTCTCTCTTCCTCTCCTTTCTTCCTTCCTTCCTCTCTTCCTTCTACCTCTTTTCTCCCATACTCTCCTTCCTTTCTCTTCCTCTCCTTCCTTTCTCTCTTCTTCTCTTCCTTCTCCTCTCCTCTCCTCACCATGCTTTTCATTCCCCTCATGTTACTGCTTTTCCGACTACTGTTGTTGGAGGGATAGAGGGGAGACTGGCGGGAGGAGGGATAGAGGGGAGACTGGCGGGAGGAGGGATAGAGGGGAGACTGGCGGGAGGAGGGATAGAGGGGAGACTGGCGGGAGGAGGAGGAGAGGAGGAGGACTGGCGGGGATGGGGGGAGGAGGATAGAGGAGACTGGCGGGAGGACTGGGAGACTGGAGGAGGAGGGATAGGGAGGGGGAGACTGGCGGGAGGAGGACAGAGGGGAGACTGGCGGAGGAGGGATAGAGGACAGAGGGGAGGAGGGGAGGATAGAGGGGGGAGGACTGGCGGGAGGAGGATAGAGGCGGAGGAGGGATGGGGGAGACTGGCGGGGAGGGAGGGGATGGGGGAGGGGGAGGAGGGATAGAGGGAGACTGGCGGGAGGGAGGGATAGGGGAGACTGGCGGGAGGAGGGATAGAGGGAGACCGGCGGGAGGAGGGATAGAGGGGAGACCGGCGGGAGGAGGGATAGAGGGGAGACTGGGGGAGGGATAGAGGGGGGGACCGGCGGAGGAGGGAGAGAGACCTGGCGGGAGGAGGGATAGAGGGAGACTGGCGGGAGGAGGGATAGAGGGAGACCGGCGGGAGGGAGAGGAGACTGGCGGGAGGAGGGATAGAGGGGAGACTGGCGGGAGGAGGGATAGGGGAGACTGGCGGGGGAGGAGGGATAGAGGGGAGACTGGCGGGAGGAGGGATAGAGGGAGACTGGCGGGAGGAGGGATGGGGGAGACTGGGGGAGGAGGATAGAGGGAGACTGGGGAGGAGGATAGGGGGGGAGGGGGAGGATAGAGGGAGGGGAGCAGGAGAGGGATAGAGGGAGACCGGGGGGAGGGATAGAGGGGAGACTGGGGGAGGAGGGATAGAGGAGACTGGCGGAGGAGGGGATAGAGGGGAGACTGGCGGAGGAGGATAGAGACTGGCAGGAGGGATGAGACTGGCAGGAGAGGGAGAGGAGACTGGCGCTGGCGGGAGGAGGAGGGAAGAGGGAGACTGGCGGGAGGGAGGGAGGGGAGACTGGCGGGAGGAGGGATATGGGAGACTGGCAGGGAGGAAGGGATAGAGGGAGACTGGCGGGAGAGGAGGGATAGAGAGGAGACTGGCGGGACTGAGGAGGATAGAGAGGAGACTGGCGGGAGGAGGGAGAGGGAGACTGGCGGAGGAGGGATAGAGGGATGGAGAGGACTGGGGAGGAGGGATAGGGAGACTGGCGGGAGGAGGGATAGGGGGAGACTGGCGGGAGGAGGGATAGAGAGGGAGACTAGAGAGGGAGAGGAGGAGGGAGGGAGGGGGAGGAGGGATGGGGAGGGGAGGCAGTGGACTATTTCTGTCCGTCTCACCTGGCTGCACTACCTGTATGGCTCACAGGGGGTGGGGGGAATGTAACTGTTGGTGTGATGATTTAGTGAGTGTTAAGTGTTCTGGGTGTATCTGTCGGAGTGTAGAGGTGCGTGTGTGGCGGTGCGGGTGTATGGTGGTGTGGGTGTGTGTGCGGGTGTGCATGGTGGTGTGGGTGTATGGTGGTGCGGGGTGTATGGTGGTGTGGGTGTGTATGGTGGTGTGGTGGCGGTGGTGGTGTGGGTGTATGGTGGTGTGGGTGTATGGCGGTGCGGGGTGTGTGGTGGTGTGGGGCGTATGGTGGTGCGGGTGTATGGAGGTGCGGGTGTATGGTGGTGGGGTGTATGGTGGTGTGTGTGTGTGTGGTGGGTGTGTGGTGCGGGTGTGGTGGTGCGGGGTGTGTGTGTGATAATAATTAATGGTTTATTGAGAGAAAACAGGAGCCAAAGACTGTAAAATATACCACGGACAGAGATGGCATACATAAGTGATACAGGGGAGTGCCTCATGTAATAAAAGCTTTCATTACAAAAATAGGAGGAAACATGAGGTGAACATACAGGTTACAGGAACTACATCAGGGTGGGGTGGCTGGTCTTGTAGGACTGAGGCAGCTGCAAGGGGACGATATTACTTCCAAGATTGTGTGGCGGTGTGTCCGTAAACTGGTGGTTAGAGACGTAATGAAGACCAGGGGGAGCTGAGAGGGCTAGTGTACAGAGTGCCTCTTGGTAGGTGGTTCATAGTGGCACTTTGACAATGTCCCGCGCGTGTGCGTGTGTGGCAACAGGAGTGAGTCACCACCAGCATCACTAACAACAACAACAAACAGACAGTGTTGGAGTGTGTGTGTGTGTGTGTGTGTGTGTGTGTGTGTGTGTGTGTGTGTGTGTGTGTGTGTGTCCTGCTTATTTACACGAGGCACAAGAGAAGTGGCCGACTGGATGATGATGGGTGTGTATGCTAGGATGTGGGTGGGTGTGCTAGGAGTTGGGTGTGTAGTAGGTGGGCTGTGGCGGCTGGATATGGGTGGCAATGGGGAAAGGTGGCTGGGAGCGGGTGAGGGTCATCCATACATTGTGGCGAGAGGCAGGAGTTAGGGCAGCAGGGGCAGGAAGGAAGGAACAAGAGTTTGTTTGATTGATTGAAACAGTTTATTTGGCCAGAAAAACACAGAAACAGAGTGGATAATAATAACAATATTAACATGGCTGAGCCAATTGAGAACCTGAGCTCTCTTGTAGGCACTGATATATATACTATACTGTACATTTATCTCAAGGAAGTATTATGTAACATTTAGTATCATCTGGAATAGTACACACAGCATGGTGGTAATAAGAACATAGCAGAATGTTACCACGGTTATCGCTTCGATATTTATTTATTTATTTTTATTTTATTTATTATTATTATTATTATTATTATTTTACATTTATATTATAGGGACAGCATAAAGGCATGTGGGCGAGGTATCCGTTGATAACCAAAGGATTAAACCATCTTCCTCTTAAGGGCTTATAGCAATCGTCAAGAGTTAAACCATCATTGTCAAAGGGTTTAATTGTCGTTCTCAAAGAGTAAAAATATAGTACTCAAAAGAGTTCAAACGTCGTCGAAGGGTTAAACCACCACCATCAAAGGGTTAAACCTTGTTATATGATTAAGTATAAATTACAGTATTTGTAATTGAGCTTTATTAACGTCTTAATAAACTCAGGTGAGTTTTGTTGTCCCAGGTGTTTTCACAGTTCACTACAAGTACATAAAAAAAAGTTTTAAGTTAATTTTTTGCATCGTTACTAGTCTGGGAGGGGGGTCAACTGTGGGGTCATTGGGGTCAGGTGGTGCTGGCGGTCTAGGTCACGTGTGTGTTTGTCTCGCTCGTCTAGACGTGACGTCACGGGTCAGTCAGTCGTCCTTCCTGGGGGGGGGGAAGTAAAAGCTCTTGACAGGTTTCTGTTGAGAGAGAGAGACGTTCAACATGTGGTCATCTGCGAAAGAAGAAGAGGAAGAAGCGAGAATGAAGGAAAGTGAGAACAAAGGAGAAAAAAGCGAATCATGGTGTAGAGAAGAGGTGGAGAACTGGGAAGTCATGTAATGATAGTTGTCAACCTCGCGTTGCTGAGGTGGTAGGCGGTGATAGTTATAGTGGTGGTGGAGTAGTGGTGGTGATGGTGTTAGTGATGATGAAAGGTGGGTTAGTGACGGTGATGCTGGTAGAGGTGGGGATTGGTAGGATGGCGTGGGGTTAAGTTGTAGAATAGATGATGAGAGAAGGAAGGAGGAAGAAGGACGAGAATAACAGGAGGGAGGAAGCAAGGAGAGTTACAGGTGATGAAGAAATACAAGAAGGGGGGGGAATTATGATATGGGAATGAATGTGAGACTAGGGAGGGAGGAAATGAGGGGGGGGGGAGGGAGAGGGGGGGGGAGAGCGTGGGAGTGTCCTGGCCACACAGCCTTTTGACGGGAGCTGCAGACACAGGCTCAGGTGTTGTCGTGTGCATGATGGTTGTGCGTGGTGGGTGTACATAACACTCTACAGTAGTACACCGGGGTCAGGGAGCTCACACACACACACACACACTGTTCCATCATGTCCTCACGTCGCCGGAGACACAGACTTCAATGCTCATTTTACCAGCAGGCAGGTGAGGCCATGGTCGTGAGAGAGAGAGAGAGAGAGAGAGAGAGAGAGAGAGAGAGAGAGAGGTCTTAAGGCTCCACGAGGGAGTGTCACGTGATCACCTTCTCTCCCCGGGTTGTGGTGTCATCTCTCTCCCTCAACCTACAGTACGGTTCACACTCGTGATCTCTCACTATCTCAGCTTCCTGGTCTACACCTCACCACCTCCAGTCTGTTTATGACATAACTAATGATGCTGAAGAAGAGGAGTGTGAGTGAGTGAGTGGTGTTAACAGAGGCGCTGGGTGTTGTGACTGATGGAGAGCTCGTCCACCATTGCACAGGTGTCTGGTGCAGGCGGTGGTAATGTGTCTGGTGGTGGTGAGCCTGTTTGTTCTCCACCACTAAGGTTGTTTCCCCTCACCACGCAGCGTCCCCAGAACACGTCTGGTTGTTACTGCCATTGCCCACCACCGTGGGTCATGAACACAGCAGTGGTTGTGTGTGTGTGTGTGTGAGAGACGTTGAGTTTCATGTGATGTCCACCAGTCGTGCGTATACTGTGTCTGGGGAGGAGAATTGATGGGACGAAGGGGAGTTGTGTGGGGGAGAGACGAAGGGAGAGAGAAAACGAAAGGGGAGAGAGGAAGTTGTATATGTGGAGGGAGGGAGGGAGCAGAACACGTTGAGGTTGACACATTGGTCACTCCCGGAAACAGGTAGAGTGTGTGTGTATAATGATGGTGGGAACAATGTTGTCTCCCTCCTGTTGTTTCACACGTGTTGGTCCTGGAGTGTTCAGTCAAGGAAGTGTTACCATTATTTTATACAGCATGTGTGTGTGTGTGTGTGGCTAAGTCGCTGTACTCAATGGGTTAAGTCACAGTACAGACTCATAGGGGTTAAGATAGGGTACTCAGGAGGTTGTAAATCTGTATTTAGGAGTTTGGCACACTACATGGTTGGCATTGAATTCAGGAGGTTGGCACTGTATTTAGGAAGTTGGCACTGTACCAAAAAGGTTGGCACTGTATTCAGGAGATTGGCACTGTACCCAGGAGGTCGCCACTATACTCAGGGGTTGCTTACTATACTCAAGGTTGAACTGTATTCAGGGGTTACAAATGTTTTTTGTTTTTTCAGCGAACTAGTTACTGTCATAATTGTTTTTTATATATTTTTAATTAATTATTACTCTTCTAATTCACACACCTCATTTGGGGAGTTTTAACGAGGTACACTTAATTACTTACCATAATAATTACTCCAAGTATTATTCATATTTCTTAACATTTATTTTATTTATTTTTTTATTATTCTTTGCATGTTTTGGTATACAACTAACAAAATTTTTCCCAGTATTTTTTCTGTGTTGTTTCCTAATTGATGGAGTGTTGTGTTTTGGTGTGTTTAGGAATAGATTATACTGTGCGGGTTTGTTGTTGTGTTTATTTTGTGATTTTATTAATCTTTTGTGTTGTCTCGTTTTTCGCGTTCGTGTGTGTGTGTGTGTGTGTGTGTGTCGTGTTATTGTTGTAATGTAATGGTTTGGTTGTTATTGTACCGTACTTTTAGGGGGGGGGAGGAAGGAAGGGAAGGAGTGATAGGGAAGGAAGGAAGGAGGGGAGATGAGGGAGAGAATGAATGTGGTACTTTTTGTACTGTGCAGTCTCCTGCCCCTCATCTACTCCCTCCTATCCCTCTTGCTCCCTCCTATCCTCTTCTACTTCCGTCCTCCTCTACTCCCTCCTGTCTCCTCTACTCCCTCCTGCCTCCTGCCTCCTCCCATCCTTCCTCTCTCCCCGAACCTCCACTGCCCCCTCCTATCCTCTACTACCCCCTGTCCCTCCACATCCTTGAGTTCACTCGTGTAAGTTGTGGATCTACTCACCTACATGTGTGTGTGTGTGTGTGTGAACGCTAGCCAGTGATAATCGTAAGGATCTCAGGTGAACGCGCGTCGGCCCACACTGACCTCCTCTTAATCGCGGGCTACAAGAGAGTGCGTGGCGGGTTTTCAGGTTCAAGCGTTCTGTTTCGAGTAAGAGAACGCAGCTAGTGCTTAAGTGAATTAGTCTTCTACACACACACACACACACACACACACACACACACACACACACACAGTGATACATAACTTACAAGCCTCAGTGGATCCGGGATTCAGACGCATAATTCAGGCGAACACAACAAATGTCACTTGAGGAGGATGATTCAGAACGAAGTGGTTCCCGAGTCACAAAGCTTCGTTTACGGTGAATATTCCTCGTAATCTTTTAAAGTCTTTTTTAAGATAGAATGACTCCCAGTTTCGTTGTCTCTACCTTCAAGTTATCATCTGGGAATATTTTCAAGGTATATTTTTCATTTTTCTCGTAAAGGTGAGTATTTAAGTGGATTTCTGAACATTTACGAGAATTATTGTTGTCTTGCGGGTCTTTGTGAACTGGTTGGAGTTTAGCCAATACTCTTGTCCGACGGGTTGAATCTTTTCATAGCGCCTGTCATGGCGGCTGAATTTCGAAAGTTGGTTCTCTCTCTTTCTCTCTCTCTCTCTCTCTCTCTCACAAAGGATCGTACGATGATTTTTCTCTACCTGTGAATGGGAGACGGGGAGAGAAAGAGAGAGACAAACAGACAGAACAAGAGAGAAAAGGAGGTGAGAGATAGACAGAGACAGAAAGAGGAACTAGAGAGAGAGAGAGAGAGAGAGAGAGAGAGAGGGGGGGCCATTGCTGTGACGGTAAAGTAAAACAAAAACAAAAACCCACAAATCTAAGGTATTTTAACTTATATCTTCCCGTTGTTATTTTAAAGTCAATCTCTGTGGTAGTTTGTGAATCTCCAGTTATGAGGCAGAAAAAAATATGACTTATGTTTTCTTGTTGGCTGTTTAGGAGTGTGTTGGGGGCGAATGATGGGACACGGAGGAGTGTGATGGGTAAGGGGGGACTGGGTGGTAGGTTGTAGGAAGGATGGTGGAGGATGTGGGGGCAGGAGGTGATGGGTTATTTGGTGGATGTAACTCTGGAAATCAAGTTGTTATTATTATTATCATGTTATTTTGTTATTTATGTCAACAGTGGGGAATTATTCATGAATTAAAATACCTCTCGATTCAGGTATGTTAATCTTGTGAAGTGGTTTATAGACTTGCAGGTAATAACTTAATCCACTAGGGAATTATCTAGGATTATTAAAGAGTTATCACATGCGAACATAACTCTGGCTGGTGTCACACTTGATTCATAATTTTACTAGAATAATTATACCCTGGAATGTACTGTGCTAGACCAGGTATGTGAACCTTCTGGTAATTGACAGGCGGAACCCACCCACCCCAATTTGATGTACCTGGTAACTTGTAATTATAATGAAATGAATTATCACCTAATGATCGTTTAGGAGAAAAAATATGATGATAAATCGTTTCATGTGGAAAGGCGGAGCAAGCTGTTACGTAAACCCTCCTCACCTGTAGTTTACACCTGGTGGAGTGTCTTGTCCTGTGTCGAGTTGGTGAATCTTGATGTTGGGGACGTGGAGGAGGACTGAGGGAGGGTAGTGTGGGTGCGTGCCGCCGAGGACAAACACAGTGGGTGGTTAGCGGAGGCCCTGGGGCACCCCTTACCTCCAGGCGCTTCACCCACCCGCACCGGTCATGTTGGTACGCCTGACCCCAACCTGCCTCCCCCACTACCTGTGTGTGTACCCCAGCACCACCACCACTACCCACCACTACCAACCATCATCACTACCCACTACCACTAGTCCACCACCACCACTACTACCATCACTGCCCACTACCACCACCTTCCAACACATACAACCTGTGTGTGTGTGTGAACCTCAGCACCACCTACCACCACAATCACCAGCCCACTCTTTCACCTCAATACATCCAGGAACATCATACCTGTACATGTTAATTCATTGCCTTACTGTATTTACACACATACACAACCCCTGAAATACACACCTGGCCTTGATAAGTCAGGTGTGTACAGAATTGCTATGTTGAGATCACCTAAAATAGTCAAATATATATATATGCCTCTGAAGATGTCTTGAATAAAGACGAAAGCTAAGGTACTCCGTTGTTCCATTTTTCCCGTGTGATTTTATCCAAGATATATATATATATATATATATATATATATATATATATATCCGGGTTAATTACACACCAGACTCCTTCACTAACTTGTAAAAAAAATAGTAACTTCTTGAGTACGATGACTTAACATACTTGAGTACAATGATGTAACCTTCTGGGTAAGACAACTTAACCTCTTGAGTTACAATGACTTAAGTCCTTGAGTACGATAACTTAACATCTTGGGAGTGCGATAAACTTACTTTTCTCTCTCTCTCTCTCTCTCTCTCTCTCTCTCTCTCTCTCTC